CCCTAATCATTTTTGTTGCCCTCCGCTGGACTCTTTCCAATTTTTCCACATCCTTCTTGTAGTGTGGGGCCCACACACATACACACACTCTGCTGCTACATAACTGCTGTTCCCACTGTTACCATGTTTAGTTTGGACTATTGCTGACCCAACGGGTTTGCGGTTATTACATGTTTTGATTGACAACCTCCCTGGGTGTCCTGCTTCATTTTTTGTGTGGTTTTGGACTGCTATTCCAGGGTGCCTCTGAACATAACGTCACGGTGCCGAGGATGGGATGAATCCATGTGAACTCCTACAGCAGAGCTTTGAGAAAACCAAGCCCTCTTAGTGTAGAAATTGCCAGCGATGGAGAACTCACCACGACCCCTGGTAAACTGTTCCAAGGGTTAATTGCTCTCACTGTTAAAAACGTACACCTTCTTTCGAGTCTGAATTTGTCTAGCTTCAACTTCCAGCCCTTGGCTCGTGTTAGAGCTTTCTGTGCCAGACTGAAGAGCTCATTTGTCAAAGATTTGTTCCCCATGTAGATACTCATAGAGTGTAATCAGCTCACCCCTTGCCTTCTCTTTGCTAAGCTAAATAGATGGAGCTCCTGGAGTCTCTCACTAGAAGGCAGAATTTCCAGTTCTTTGATCATTCTCATGGCTCTTCTCTGACCCCTCTCCAGCCTACCAATACCAGAGTGGCTGGCCTCTCTCTGAGAGCAGAACTTGGCTTCTTTGCTACTGGGGGTGACACACATGTGAGGGAAAGACCCCAGCTCAAGTGTCAGGCTCCAGCTGACCCTGTCAGGCATTCAGCATAACTCAAAGCTCTCAGAATGCTCCGAGATGAGGGCCGGGGGCGAGCGCCCTCCTCCGGCCCAGTGGAACTCTACCCTCGGAGTAAAGCTCATCTTTGGGAGACATCCCGGGCCATGCTGGGTATGTGTACCAGAGTGTGGAACTCCCCCAGGAACCAAGGACCAGCCCACACCTCTCCGCCTTCTGCAACAAGTGCCAGGTGTATCTTCCGACTGGCCTCTGAGGGAGCGCAGAGCAGCCGGGTAATTGATAAAAAAAACCCTACCAAAACAGAGACTGCACTGCACACACGATTCTACCCTGGGGAGAGGAAGAGAGCGAGAAGGAACCACATGGGACACGTGAGTCTTGTCACTTAATGATGTCGTGGATGGTGCTTAGATACTCTGGTGATGAGGGAGGGTTAAGAATAGAATCGAGCTGAGCGAAGCTGAGCCAGCACGGGGCACACACAAAACCCCAGGGATCTCTGTAAGCAGCGTCCATGTGCACACGCAGCCACACGGTGATGCCCTTAGTCCCCCCACTGCAAGGCCTAGGCCCTGTTTGGGCCTTCTCACTCCCCTCCTGCTTCTCCTTGCCTCCAGCCTCACGCACACAAAGGAGGGGAAAGCAGGCAATGAGCAGAAGACCCGAGCTGGGGAGCAGGGGAAGGGGCAGGAGCAGGACTGGGGCTGGCAGTGTGTGTGGGCAAAGGCAGCAGCTCTGCGAGGGCCCCAGCAGTACTCACCGATTGGCTTCCCCGTGTGAATGTCGATGATAAAGCCAGGGGCCTGGTTCCCACAAAGGATCTGGTACTCGGCTGGAAGGGAAAGGACAGGGTTACAAAGGACGCCCAGCAGACAGACAGGGACTGAGTCAGTACAAGCGGCCCTGGGGCACAGAGCACCCAGGGGGCGAAACCCTACAACCAGGGATGGAGCTGACAGAGGAGGTGACCACAGAGACAACAGGAAACACCTATCTCCATGCCAGCAGGTTACCTGTGTGCCATTGCAGGGCTGGGACCCTTCACAACCTCCCCCCCCCCCCCCCCCGTGTCCCCCCCCCCCCCCCCACCCCACCCCCCCCCCCCCCCCACTGCACAGCTTAGAACCACAGAGAGACACTCCCCCCGTGTGCTGGGACTACAGGACCACCCCCACACCTCCCCTTCGCCCCAGGCTGCACACACAGCATGGCCTGGGATGGATGCATGGTCTGTTCCACAGAGGCTCTTGGTATCGTCCATCATCAGATCTCTGCCGTCGCCCAGCGCCTGCGGGGAGCACACTGCCCTGCACAGCCTGGGGGAGGCGATGCTGTCACTCACTCCCTGGGCCAGGGCTGTTCTCGGCACAGCTGTCAGCCCCGTGACACCAGAGGGGGCCAGACGCAGAGCACCCAGAGGGATTGGGGGGGGGGGGAGCTCCCCTAGCCAGACCCTTCTCTGGGGTGCAGGGGACTCACGGCTGGCAGGGGTGGGGCAGGGCTCGCAGGGCTTGTTCCAGGCCTTGCCGATGTTGTAGGAGCAGCAGCACATCTTCTTGGTCATGTTGAAGGCGAGCTCGTTCTCACAGGTGTCGTTGTAGTTGCGGTAGCACACGCTCTTCCTCATGTCTGTGAAGGGGACACAGATCAGATCATGCTGCTCCGGGGGCTGCCGGCCACGCCTCGGGCACCACACCCACCGGAGAGTGCTGAGAACAGCTATCCCCTGACCCCTGACCCTGCTAGCTCCTGGCACCATGGGCCTTGGCTGCCCAACGATCATCCCTGCCCTGAAGAGAGGGAAACTGAATCCCAGAGACATGACGGCTGGCCCGGGTTCCGACGGGAGCAGAGCCCAGCTTGCCCCTGGGCCAGCCGCACGGGCAGGGGTGCTGGGAGGGAGCCCAGGCTCCCTGCACAGAGAGTAGCACAGCACGCAGCACACAGCCCTGGCCAGGGCCTTGGGCCCCGTGGAACCATCGCTGGGAGCGGAGTCAGGAGCAGCCTGTGGTCCTGCTGCAGATGCCGGAGAGCCCCTGACATGGACATGGAGCCCCCGGCCCAGAAATGTGCCCCCTCCCCCCAATTTGTGTCTCTGGTCAGCTCCCAGCAAGGAGTGACTGCGGACTGCGAGGCAGGAGAACTGCAGGGAGCAATGCCCAGCCAGACCCTCACCCCCCCCACTCTCTGCAGGCACCAGGTCACCCTCCCAGCACCAGGGCAGGCAGGCCAAGCTCAGCCCCACATATGGCAGGGCGAGCAGGGGCACGGGGAGGGGAAGTGATGCACCCAAGGTCTCGCAGTGAGCGAGTGGCAGAGAACCCAGCAGTCCTGACTCCCAGCTGCTGCTCTCACCACTCTCCCTGCTGTCTCGTCACCATGTTGCCTGTAGTGAATGAGAAAAGCCAGCAGGGCCCCTGGGCATTCCCAGCCTGCTCCCTCCCAGCCCCCTCCCTGCTGGCTGGAGACAGCACCGTACCCATGCAGTTGTTTCCTCCGTTGACCTGCATGTACTCAGGGGGGCACACGCAGGTGTAGTTGCCCAGGGTGTTGTAGCAAGTCCCAGGGCCGCAGATCCCGATGTGGGCAGAGCACTCGTCAATATCTGCAAAAAGCAATGACAAGATTACACCTGCATG